TGGATTATTAGGTCCGGCCTCGGGGTCTGTTCACTCCCTCCGGGGCTCGTAGGCGATCGCGTCAGCGAGACTACAGAATGCGACGTATGTGACATGACAGATGGGGATTTCATCACATAGTTATTTCCTAAGACGGGCCCAACCCCATTGGGGTCCGCATGATGTTCCTTGCGAGTGCGTAATCTTAGCTTTGAGAAATCTAACCTAGATGGCTTCTTCTTTGGCTGCCCCTTGCCGTAGAGTGCCCCGTCGATATCCAACAGTGCGTTAGCTTTCGTCGGGAGTCCCTTGGCCATCGCCGAATTTGATGTCTGCTGCGATATTGAGAGCGGCATCTTATCCGATTCGTAATATGAATGAACGGTAGAACTCGTTTGGGGCCGGTGAGCATTGGTGTCGTCTGTCAAAGCATCCCGGCTACGAGCACCAAGGGTGACGGCTGATCTCTTTGGCTTTAACCCCTTACTGAAAAGGCCGTTAGTACTACGCAACCGCCGTGGGAGCGCCTCCGATTCATCCTCCCACAGAGCTCTACCATAAGTCGTTCTGCTGTATCCATCCTCTTCTTCGTCCTGGGCACCAGATTGACTAGCACTACTCTCAGATATCGATATACTGATGCCGCCAGTCGATTCTGTTTCCCACGATCGGCCAGGATCTCTCGTTCCGCTAGTTCCCAAAATCCTTTCTGCTTTCGAGAGCGAGTTCGAGACCGCCGCAGCGGGTGTCTGCTTCGCTGAGCGTCCCGGCATGGGGAACGTAAATTTAGATTTATGACCCATTTTCGAGGAATAATCTACCACACAAACGATAGGTCGATAACAGGGTCGAATAAGTCAAGCTTCGAAATGAAGCTCGTTGTTCGTGCCTAAAGCGACAGGATCAAAGAATCAGGTGCTAAACCCCAAGTCTCTCTATCTCCCGCCTCTTGTCTTTCCCACGACAATGTCTCTAAGGAAATAGACATGTGCTACAAACTTCAGATGCCAAGACAATCGGATTGTTACCGTGAGCTGAAACGAAGGGACCAATTCCGTGCCTATTATCGAACAGTCGCAGTGTCGGCGGTCGATCAGGGCGTCAGATTCAAGTATGCTTTAGTCGGCATGTCAAAGCAACTTCCTCTCATATCCTACAAGTAAAAGTTCCGACTATGCTTAGCATTGCATATCCCAGTAGCGCGCGTATGTCGAGAAGGAATAGTGATACGAAGTCGACAAGTTAATTACCGGATTGGCGAAGATACAAGACCACGATTTAACTTGTATGTTCGTCAAACAGCTTCGAATAATTAAGTGTCCCGCATGAACCCCAAAAAAGTCGGTATGAAGGATCGTGATGATCGCTTTTCTCCCGTCGGCTTCTGCTCCCAAAACTTAAGAGACCCTCGTCCAATCCCTACTTCAGCTTCGTAGACACAACCCCATACGTGCGTGAAGAAAATGGAGTGTCATAAGTAAGAAGGGGAGAAACAGGAACAAAAAGGGACTGGAACGATGGTCCTGTCACGACACGGACACTTTTTTTCCCTGGATATTAAAATTGGAGAATCCAAGAGACGTATTTCTCCATACAGTAGGCATGTCGCAACTTATTGCAATTTATTGGCACATTTGCACATCTGCATATGCGAACGGAGGGTATGTATGTAGGTACACTTGCATATGTATGCATCCTGATGCCACCCCGAACTCATTAATGCCGTATTACTAGGAACAGTAAATAGCTTATTTTATTATATGTGTTCCCTTTATTAGCTAGAGTCTATGTGGTTAGATGGGCCAAGGAGAAGCTTGTCCCCCCTTAGAGGCTGTTTGGGACCATAAGCGGTGTTTTGCTTATGGCTCGTGCCAACCCTGACACATAAGTTGGCTGAATTGTGTCTCGATTGTGGGGCGATTCCCACTGTAATTTGGACGAATCAACGCTAACCTCAATGTATATAAGCTATTAAGTGTTTGTGGTCTTATGCTTATAAATTTGGCTTATTAGCTTACACGTTGAGGCTATTCCCAACCTTGTCGTCGCTAACGACGGTTATAGCGCTTTTAGTCGCTATTAATGCGCTATATTATAGCATATCCGATAGGTACTAAAGATGCATTTTAAAGGGCCACTAAATGCGCTATATTTTTCTCACTAAACATGCTGTAATTATAGGGCATTTAGCGGATAATGCGCTGAAAATTAGGTATAAGCGATTTGATCAGCCTCGAAAAGCACCTCAAGAGGTGCTTTTGAGCATTCAGCGAATTTTTCGAAGTTTATTGGATGCATGAAAAAGTATTATGGATCCTCCCATCAGCCAATTTTCAGTGGGGATAAGTTAATCAATACCTCCCAAACACATTGCTGATACTTATGCTTATTCTCCATAAGTTTTTCCATGCTTATGTTCCCAAACACCTTCTTACCCACTCACACGTGTGCATACACAGACACCACAGATACAGTACGTCTCTTCAAGCCACCGATACGATGGCACGAAAGAAGACTGGGTTGAACTAACACCAAACCAAAAGCAGCCCCAAGTGACATACAGATAGATTACAAAAAGTCAAATGAGCCGTCATGCCGGTCGACGGTCGACCCACCGGAGAAGCCGGACCACCTCGCATAGCCCAGCCCTTCAAGCTACGACCGGTTTATGAAAGAGGGGGCAAGGGGTTTCGCAGACCCCTGTCTCCAGGCCCCTGTTACAAAGTAGCAGGTTTCTTTCCTGCAGGGCTTTCGTATTGCATCTAGACCGCAATTATATGTAAGGTACGGTTGTGTTAAGCTGCATAGAATGCAACGTGGAGCTGCCTACATAATCAAACGTCCCACGACGATCAAAACAATAAAAAGGTTCAGGGCAAGCAAGTATCAGGGAAAAGTTTCAAAATTGTTATGGTGTACGGATTAAACCGATGTAAATGACAATAACTGGAGCAGAATTTCAGCTCCCTAAGTTAGAGTTGTTTAATCAATCATAAAGTTAGAGCGAAATAAAAGATCAGATGGTCGATTTATTAGAAAACGGCTGTCTACCGCTAAATTAGACAAACGGCAAGGTTCATGGAAGTCAGCGTCAATGGTCGAGAGAATATCATTACGGAATACAAACACAAGCAGCGGGCTCAACAGCATACATAGAAACAATCCTCCAGTTTTTTATTAGTAATTATACATTTTTTATTGACTAGTATTATTTCTTTTGCAAGTGTGGTCAAGTCTTTACAGAATACACTAATTGTCGTTAACGAATCCATTCCACAAACGACCAGGATCATGCTTAAACCCTTTCAACATGGAATCTAGCCTCACCAGCCTCATCAGCCTCAACCCTTGCTGTCTCAGACAACGGTAACCTTGAAAGAGAGCTGATGAGAAAGATCTGACACCAACATCAACCCAATTGTCGGTAAATAGAATCGAAGTCCGAGCACCCACAAAGTGGCCCCTATGCCTTAAATGGTGGCTTGTCGGTCTTCGGCCAGGTTGCTAACCTAGAGTTAACGCATAGATTCCAGCTTTAGAACCGTGCACTTGGGACTTGTGATGGATCATGGGATGGTGGAACTAATCTCAGCCAAAATAGTCCACGGACGTCTCGCACATGGCATCCTCGTTTTCGTCACACGGTCTCTCGCATCGACCAAGACAATAATTAAGTTATAGATTAATACCTGCGGCTGGCCACTGCAGATGTCTCAACCTGAGGCGGCGGTGCCAGAGGTGATACGACATATATTGCCATGCTCGCCTCAACGTCAATCTAATCTGTGGAACTTTGGAAGATTCCAAAAAAAGCATGACGAGAATTCTGCAGGAAACCGACGAAGCCCCCAGCTGACGAACGAATCTGAGAATTCCTCAGTATTGTTAATTAATTAATTAATTCGTGCAAACGACGAGACTCGTAGCCCTTTGCGGCGACCACCCGAGCTTACCGGTATGGGATAGTGTCCGGCGACGCTGTCGCCACGAACTAGCAAACGCAATATCTCTCCTCGAATTGATACGAGAACGACTAGTTCGTAGCTGGCGTAAGAGTCTAATGACTATAAGGACTACTGGCGTATTAAGTATGACTCGCAGGCGGCGGTTTGTGTATAAAAGTTGTTTTTTTTCCTTTCGCCTTCAGTAGGTACTTAAGTTTTTCTCCGCACATCTTTAATAGTACCTATTTGTACTACGCATGACGATGTTGGCGTAAAAGTGATATATCCTAGTTGAGCCGCTAAGCCACTTACACAGCTTCCTATCATTTCGATCATTAAAATTAATTGTAGATCTGATATCTCCATGATATCATTAAAGCATTGACGGTATTCGAGAAAGAGTTGTAGGGCTTTTCCGACACGATGCCGGCAACCGGCCGAAAGGATTTATGTTTGCTAGCTGAGTAGCCCCGTGATTTCGTCAAGTCCAGAACCAGGGAGGTTCGTTAATCTTCTTTAGCAGGTATCCGCTAAGTAATATACATCGTGACTAAAAATACATGATGACTAGTAGCATCATTTCGGAAGCACGTACCCGTCAGTTTATTGCGTGACTAAAGAATATTGATTAGTGGGCTGTACATAGTAGAAGCGAATGCCTCATTGCCTCCTAGTATCATCACCCTAACCAGTTCCGTAGTGGTCTCTACGATGGTCCAGATTACTAGTATGCAAGCGGCACGTATGTCAAAGTCTTATATCAGTAGTTTCCGATAGAATGTAAGAAAATCTCCGATTACTATGATGCGATCTATCATCCATGTATGATGGTGATCCTCCAGGTCTTCCTTAACTACCTGGTGCCATGTCCATAGATGTTTAGTATCAGGAGACATCACACGTGATATTCTGACGTCTTGTCGCGTAGGCCATTTTCAGAAGCTATAGTCTGAAGAAGTCTTGTAAGAGTTCATATGATAGAACAGAACATCTATGATAGCAAGAAAGTCATTCCGCATAAAGCATCGGTATCAGGCAGTGCCGGAGAGTTGAGTGACCCAATCGTCGTATACGAGGGTTATGATAACTGAAGAGTTAAGCATCGCGATGTCAAAGGTTAAAAGACACCAATTCCCGTCTTCTCGTTCTAGTTAGTGCAGCAAAGGTGAAGAATCCAGTCGCCTAATACCACTTAAGTAGCGAAATAAGATCGAAAGTCTGCTGAAGGCGTCACTTGTGCGAAATTAGGGCCATAAGCTTATTGCTTAGAAAGAGAACCAATTCGTCTGGCTCGCTTGTACTCCTCTACACCACGGGACTCGAGGATGCAAACCATTTGTCGGCCGGCGTTTTCGTCGATCTCTTGACCGTTACGAGCTCGCGTAACCGGAAGGTCTTCGTTGAGACGGTTTGAGATATGCACTACGTGTTTACTGTTGACATGCATCGTATTAATCCACTCAACCTTGAACGGCTCCGAGATGTTCCACTTGACTCCGTACCACCACATAGGGCGAATATCCGCAGAGGGAAGTGACTTCATGACGGCCTACATTAAGGACGTAGGGTCAGTTAGCCAACGCAGAACAAGGGGATGCAAATTTAGGGAGCAAGAAAGAAAGCAATGGAAAGGGGGAGGACGAAAAAGTGCTGGAATGGTCACGCTGGAAATACTGACATAGCCCTGAAAACCGTGAGACTTGTTAACGGCGAAGAAGAGGACCACAGTTTTGCCGCTGGCAAAGGCCTTGCTTAGAACTTCCGCATTGGGACGCTGGGTAGCCCATAGACCATCCTCCTGTTAAATTGTTATTTCTTCTGAATCGTCGGTATGCGTACGGGGATACAAGTTACCATCGAGTCGTAGACGTGAGACCAACTGTACGATCTCATCACAAAGAAGCAGACCTCTACAAAGCGCAGCAACCGTTAGTAATCTATTATGAAGAAGCAGTACATATCCTCAGAAATCTGGGGTAAGACCTACCACCATTGCCCTCAAGAACAAGTTGCTTAGGATGACGTAAGTGCATCATCTCGCGGGTCAAATCTCGTTGATCGTCTACTCGCTCCCTGTTTGGACTGTCATACTTCTCGATTCTCTCAGTAGTGTGTGCAGGACGACCGCTCGGCCGAACAATATAACGTAAAGGCGACCCGCGAGGTGTCAAGGGCCGATCGCAGTCATTAAAATAGACTCGTGAGTAACCACGAATACGGTATTTGTCATGTTCATGGTGGTGGAAACGAAGGGGTGACACGGAACGGGCATGGGTCGTGGGAACAACAAGGTCTTTGCTACCCCTGCCACGATGCACTTCAATACTATCCTTCAAGCCTTCAGGTTCAGTGAGACGTACCCGCGCAGGTGACGAATCTTGAGGGGTATCGGCAAGAATAGAGTCAAGGTCCTTCTTGATAACATCCGTAGCTAGTTTAGCCTTGCCTGTGTCATATTTCTCCTCTCCAGTGTCGGTGTTTCGGTAATCTGCTAGCTTCTTCTCACGGTAGTCAATCTCGTGCCAGCCGGTAAGCTTAAGCCAGTCCTGGACATCCGGTGCAAGCATCGATTCCATGCTGGTGTTTCCGCTATTGCGAAGATCGCGTGCACGATTTGGGGAGGAACGAGGGTGCTCAGAATGCGCCATGGTTATTGAGTGCTTTCTTGGGTTGGGGATGATGTGGTGGATATTGTAAAAGGGGAATTTCCGAAAGTCTCTGTCAAGGATTAGGCAATATATACCTAAGCAGATGGGATAAAATATAAGATACGGTTGGTAGTGCGTAGTATTTATGGGTTAAGAGTGAGTGTGCAGTTTGTAGAATTACTGGTTCTTGGTAATCGAATATTTAGGAGAGTGTTGTTAAGAAATAGAATAATAGAAGGTGCGTTTTGAAGAGGAACCCTTAGATTGCCTAATATATTAGAAGTGATGTTTGGGCAGGAGGTGTAGAATGCGTTTTCGTTATCGGCGCACTTTCCTATACACGTCAAAAGATCGTGAGTCTTGCGTTGGTGTGGCGTGAATAGAATATCGGCAGTTGCCGTTCCTAGATCGCCGGAGAAGAGTGTCTACCTAATTTGGAGGCCTTTTGAGTGAATTAGACGATACTATATCCTGGGTATGTGTCTAGATATGTGTAAAGGGAAAGGTCCTTGTCTTGTTTCGACGGCAAGGTGTTAGTAACGTGGTGATCCAACTAGTCGCGTCGTAGATAGAAGGCGGCGCTTGCCGTTAGAGATTCAAATTCCTTTGGAATACTACCAGAGGATGATATCTACGTTTATCGTGGTGTTGAGGAAGAAGGCGCTTCTTTGCAATAGCCTTATGTAAAAGATCATACCTTGCCTGCACTTAAAAGGGGAGAGAACGTGCCTGCTACGAAACAACTTTCTTGCCTTGCGATTATATGTTTATATTGTGATCACGAGCTAGAACCCCCTGGAGGCTATGGGTCGCGATAATTGGTATGGAGAACTGCTATCTCTTCGACGGAACTGGCTATAGGGTGGCTACGATATGATGATGTTATGCTTTCTGGTCTATATACTATGATAAATGAGAAACGACGACTATATAGGTTGGAACCTGGGGTTCACCAACAGAGTACGCGGCAACACGTGATGTGCATTAGGCTGGAGGGAGGAAGGAGGCAAAGAGAGCTCCTTGAATGGCGGCGTACATGATCATAAATCTCACGATGTTTGTCCCAAATGTTGAAGTCTTTTTCTCAGTAATAAGCCCTGCCAGCCACCAGTACCAAAGTGGATATCCCGATGAGATCCTCGTGATGATTTGGATGTGATAGTTTGTGATGGATAAAGCAGCTAATATGAGCTGGGATATGGCCATGGAACGGACTAGTACTGTTAGATGAGCGGGGTCACCGGGAATGGATTCCTTAGATGCGATACTCAGAGGCCGTCTGATGAGTTCTAGACTTGATGTTATAAGAATGTAAATCATTGGCGCAGCGAGTAAGAAAAGGGGTATATTTGATGGAGTCCAGTAGCGGAGAAAGCCAACGTTCCTGTCCCTGGTGTCAGCGTCGTCAACATAAGGAACGACTTTCTACTAACCAATAGCGCGCTTGAACGAATGAGTAAATACTGGGAAACACGCTTGTGCACCAAGGTCTTAACTTGGTACCTGAAGGAACGGAGCAGAAGATTTGAAATGCAACAAGTTGCGGAATCACAAAGCTAACTGCTATGGCCAAACCTCCCAAGAGTAGGGCAAATCGTCGTCGAATACTAGATAGAGTGGGTGGCATAGTGAGTTCATGGGCCAGTGCAATTGCGAATGGGATCCCATTGAATAGGCCATTGCTACGAAATGTGGTGGCGAAGCCAAACCACATACCTGAAGCGACCAAGCTTACATCGTGGGCAAAGGTCCGCTTTGGCCCAAGTAAACCCTTCGCAAAGAAGAGGCAGCCGGTAAAAGATAGAAAAGCAAACGTGCTCTCGTTATATGGAGCTGACAAGAAAAGCCCAGCTGGGGACAGGATATGCAGTAGGGCCGCGATAAATGACAGCCGCTGATTTCTTAGGACAACGAGTCCGAGCTGATACAAGGCAAGCACAGAGAGCAGATGGGATGTGTGAGCTACCAATATCCCGATAAGTGGCTCGAGGGAATCATGGGCCTGAATTCCTAAGCTAGAAAGTCCTATTGGAACGAGTCAGAATATAAAACGGGCGTAATGGATAGTATCACATAAGAAAAGAGGATTAAGGACCTTGACTAAGATAAGAGATGACAGTTGGAAACCCGGTGCCAAATGCCCATTCCTGCTCAAACATATAGCCTCGACGAGAGGCCTGTATAAAGTAAATAGAGTCCCATCGTGTTAGCTTTGTAGCCAAGTCAAATGGGGGTTCGTGGGATGAAGTTATCTCAGGGGATAGTAGAGTACTCGAGGTGTCGTAAGCTGGACCGACGCTACTCCCGATAACAATAAGTAGAAGTAGTGATTTCCAGGCGAGAAATGAGCCAACTAGTGATCTAATAGGATTTTTAGAATCGAGAGAGGGCATGGTTGAAAAGTAAAGATGGCTACGAGTTGTTGTTTCTACGTACCTTAGGTACCAACATTGAATAAGAGGGGACAGGGGCTAGAATGGATGGATGGAAGGTTGGAATTCCCGAGCCACAATGATTTGAGCCTGGGTGTGGCTGGATTTAATTATGGGCCTGTCTTATCTTAGATAATCGTGCGATTAGATAACACCCCTTATCTCACTTATACGAATACGAATACTCTGGAGGGTATTGCGTATGGAAATTATGAAGGAATCATCTGCTGACAATGAGACAACTCCCGAGCACCGCCATGATGGTCATTATTACCTTGGCTTACGTAGTGGCACAAGTCTTTATCCTAAACGACTCCCCGATGTGATGGTTAATGTCCAATGTGCGAAACCCTGGCTTTTGTGGCTTTTGCAGTGGCTGTTCAATGCATATATTGATAGAATCAAACATGCACGAGGCATAACGGCTTGAAGCGCGTGCATCTAATTATTTCTAGGTATTCCCATCGCATAAGCGAATGCGAATGTAGTTCCAAGATGAGATAAACCTGGGCCGCAGCCACGTTATCATAAATGATGATAAGTGGACGATCCTTGATGTCAACTACATATCATACCTATTGTACATTACCTACCTAGGTACACATGTCAGATGTAAGAGTTACACAGGCAGAATGCTATTTAGACGGAAATCACGGCATGTCGTCATTGTCTTAGGTTAGAGCGCTGGTACATTACTTGACCCGGGCGGGTTTTGTGCTTCGCGGGTTTGTGACATTTGGACTTCGGCCTCGGCAAGCTAGGAGTAGCCTCTTTTTCTAGTTTGCGGGAGGCGTTGGAAATCTTTGTTGGCAAGGTTAGGATAACCAGCACATAAGAGGTAATACCTAACCTAGGTAACTATCCGAGAAAGCCGCTTGTGAATATTGTCGTGGATCTCGGTAGTACCATCCTCGATACTCGATAATACCATGTACCTATGTAATCGAACCTCGGTGCAAACGGAGAATATGAGGACAAACGATGGCCGAATTTGTACATCGTTGCCGACTCTATGGTACTCTCAAAAGAGACCATTACGGAGACGAACTGCTAACTTGAGCTATTCAAGGCACATGGCTCCATGATCATCAGACCTTCTATTATGTTATACTCTCACCGACATATGAATAGGATTCCTTCACGAAGCCCTGATTGGATACACGTGCGGGAGGGCTACAGGCTAACTAACGAGGTGGATGGGACAACATATCTTGCATCTTGCAGCTTTGGTCTCGACTTTTTTTGCTTTATTGTCTTAGCAGGTTTAATAAGGAGGATAATATCAAAGTCTGCTGTTGTAGTGAAGAACCTACGTCTAAGGTACCTGAGGCAGTTATCAAGTTATCTCAAGATTCTTTATTCTTTAGGCAGACGAACAAATGTTGTCGATCTTTAACCTTTTGATGTGACGTCGTCGGAAATTTGCTACCGTTTATGGATTATGGATTATGGATACAGTAGGTTCGTCATGAGTTGAAATCGTAAATGCATCAAATGATGAAGACATCGTCAACAGAGCAATTACCCAAGTTGGCGATTACTTACAGAAAGACATACATTAGGTACAGGAACGGAAGATAGCACATGCAGACATGCATTGTGGGAATATATCGGTGTGATCGGCCCTTACATAGCAGACAGACCGGCTATACAGTGCCGAGCACATGCATCGGACCAATAGGAATCTATGGGCAGACACCAACTAAAGGGAGAAGAATATGGAAGCCTAGAACGCCGAAAACTACGCGGTGGGGTTTCTGCCCTATGGGGCGGCCTATCGAGCCTCCAATACAGCTGCCTAGACTGCTACACTACTACTATGTATGTGCATAGGCCTGGTAGCATTGAAACCTTAAGAACTGAGGAAGTGTACAACTCTGCTAGGTACCTCTCTACTGTAATAGGAGCTATCTGCATAACTAACTGCCGACTAACCAGGTTCCGATGACACTACTGTATCTGATCTTTCCGCCCCTGTCGATTTCTGTATACCGATTTTTCGTAATCGCATCATTGTGGTACATGCAGACATGGAATATTAAAAAAGTGCATTCTTCCATTCCAACCACAAATTATGGTTTACTGCCGCAATAACAATAATAATAAACTGCAACATTCAGTGCTACCCCCTAGCCTGCCATTTTTATTTCCTACTGCCCTTGTTATAGGTACCTTACGATCTTATCTTTTAGACGTATCATGTATCGTATATTTCTTTTTTTAATTTAAACTTAGCAGCTTACACATGCAATCTTGACGATCCCTTTTTTCTTTCTTTTGCTGACAAAATTGTAATCTGTTTATGCCCGTTCTCGGGTTTAGGGAAAGAAAGAAAGAAAAAAAAGGAAAATATAAACGTCGAAGCTACATAACAAGTCGTTACACGTATGTATGTCATGTATGTGTGTGCATACATACCGTAACTTATATTTTGTAGCTTGGATAGCTACCTACCTACCTAAAGCAACTAGAATCCAGCCTCGGCTCAAATCTAACGAGACTGACTGATTCGATTATTTTCTAGTGCGACCTTTTTTTCAGACGACAGGGGGTCTTAGCGAAAAAGCTCGGTCTGTATCCGAACGCGAGCTGAAGCTGAAGCAGTGGAATCAGTGGAAAGCAGTGGGACTTTACCAAGCCGACGGGGCACGCACATGGTTTAACAACGATCAAGATCCACCGCCGCTCCCGTACATATATATGTCCATACCTACCTATACATATATGCTTAATATATGTACCTATGTTATGGGTGTATATTTGGGAATATATACACATATCCTTGGCTTGTCTTTACCCCTCGAAACCCTCTACCTCCAACCCCCCCTATCCTTGGCCGATACGCGCGTTTCTGGACGAACCGAATAGCGTTCAGCCTGTCAGGCCACGACTCAGCCCTCCACTTGATCTACCTTACCTCTCCCCCAATAACCTTTTACCGCGTTAACTACCTACCCAAGTACTTATTAATGTACCTAACGCTTTAACACTGCTTCGACGTTGTATGCGATCATCTCCTACTTTACGGCTCCGGATCCCTCTCAAAACTCAGCCTCCGCGAATATACGACTATTATTCCATATCCCTTGAGCCTCTTTTATTCCCCTTCCCTGTCTTATTCCTAAAAAGTCAGCCTGGAATCTGTGGGGGCTGTAGGATTGTATACCATAAGACACAGTATGATCGGTCTTGTGGTAGCGTAGGACTTACTTGCTTGTTCGTCGAGACCAACCGGCAACTACCTGGATATTCGACTTGAGCCTGTCGTAAAAGGCTCCCCCCCAACTCAAAGCTGCGGAAAGTGGAAGCTTGGATGGAATTTCTCTCACAATGTTCCTGCATTCGGGAGCTAGCCTGCATGGCCATGAGTATTCAAATCGGCCGAACCCTCAGCCTGGTCATCGACGAAATTCTCTCCTGCGATCTGCTTTTGCAGCACCTATAAAACGATCTTCCTCGTATCACCCTAGCACTTCACCCTCACTTAATGAACCTACTTCGCCTGATTTACGGCGACCTCGTCCTCTTTCAGAATATATACCTAGGACCCCCGACGCTACTGTGAAATTCCAAGAGCCCCGATGCGATTCGACGGCGGCCAAGCTGGAAGCAATGAGCGAGGATGAAGGCTCAATTGCATCTGATAGTGACGCGAGCCGCGTATCGTCTTCGGCTCGTCGCAACCGGAGGAGAGTCATGCGGAAAAGCACTACCTTCCTCCTCGCGCACCCGCCTCCAAGGCTGGGCAGCAAGCAGCGTTTAATACATATACGACCCAAGCTATTGCTTCAGATGCAGCAGTTAGCAGCCAACAGGCGCCCAAGACCAGCTATTGACGTATTTCCATCCTTTGCCGTAGCTGGACCTTTGATTGTACCTTTGCTGAAGCGCTTTCCTCTCATCGCCCGCATCAAGCGAGAGTTAGGTATCCGGGATATCATGCTGGTCAAGAGTGAAGACTATGATGCGCAAGCTTCTGGGTTAGACAGTGACGGTGACGACGACAACCTGAAGTCCCGCGAGCTGTTAGCGATATTAAGTCCAGTCTTGACAGAAGACAAAGCCGAAATCGTGCTAGCCGACGGGACAGTCTGGACCGCAACGCCACGGTTCAATGGTGTCGGTTCCTGTTCCTATGATTTCGTCACTGTTGATTCGAATGGAAACACCACGACAGCCAGATGGGTTCGCAAGCAGATGGCAACTAAATCCTTGCCAGTCACGCCGACCTCGCCAGGTTTCACGCCTACGATACCTGTGCCCGACTGCAAATTCACCTTTAGCATAATCGATCCTAATTGCCGACGCCATCCTATCATGGCCACCCTAACAAATTCTTCACTCGATATACTAGACTCTTATACAACTGTCTCGCAGTCCGCTAGCCGTTATCCTCCGACTTCTCCTATGTTATCTGCATCTACTTCGCCCGCCAACGGAGAGAACATTCCTAAGCGAACAACTCTGCAAGTCGAAGATTGGCAGAAAACTTTTATTACCATATCAGCTATATGGGTAATACTTCGTCACGGGTGGTCCCCTAATTGGAAGCCGGCAGATTTTGGTAACCTATCCCCGACTTCTCCCACCACGCCGGTAGGCGCAAGCGCATCAGCTCGGAACCGGTCTGCGAGTGTAAATTTGGAGATGGCCTCAAAGCCTAGTGCTCCTAACGCTGGTAGCCGACGGAAACTCTCAGGTGCCCTGCCGATGGGCGATCAGCTTACACCGAACGTGTTACCTAGGAGGGCGACATCCACTGGGACTGGCTTCATACAGAGGTCGAACGCCACGAAGATAGAAACACGCAACCGAGCCAGAAGTAGTCCTAGGCAAGAATCAAAGAATAAGCGAGGGTTCAAAGGCGATTGGGAAGTAAGCCTCCCGGATCGGAGCCAAGCGAGTCCGTTAGCAGCCGTATTGGATTCGCCATCTACGCTCACCCCAATTGACCTTGCTTCACAAAGCAATTCCACATCATCAGCATCATCTTCTTTGTCTACGAGGCACCGGGTTATTTCGGCATCTTATTCGGCCAACCCGGTATCCCTCGAACCCATTGAAATCGAATTTAGCGAAAGCCCTAGCCTTCGGTGCAAATCCTCAGTTCGGAATCTAGTGCAAGAAACCGACAGGGAAGACCAAGACCGGAAAGCAAAGCACCAGAAATGGAAGAACATGTCACACTGGTTTCGAAAGCTGCATGGGCGGTAGGGCTGCCAGCCATGTTGTTAACAAGCGTCGAAAACAGGAGACGCAACCACATCAGTTTTGTGAACGAGAAGGGAAACTTGTATCATATCACACACTTGCATAAACCGGAGTTAGGGAGAAAAGGGGCATCTGCGGTACGGATTAAATAGGAAACCCGCATCATTGTTTACGGTATTTCTCGGAAAGGATTGGATCTAGCCGAGAACTAGAATTTTGGGAAGCTCTGGGGACTGGATCAAGAGACTTACCCGCACGGCGTTCGAATAGAGGGACGGTTTTGGCCCATTATGACGCATATCCAACATAGAAGAGAAGGGAGCTGCTTGAATTATGCAGTATCCAACGGAGCGGTCAACTCCGGTAGCAACAAATGGTTACAAAGAAATCATCTATTCTGTTGACTAAGACAGATTTCATTTCTTGATCTATGTGACTCTTGTGCGTTCCCTGCCTATTAAATACAATACTGCCCCGTGTATGGTATAAGTTTTAAGTATCGTAGAACCCCGTAGGGTAGGTCGATGTAGATGAGATGGTGGTATGTGACAAGGAGCCTATAGGTACTCATTCCCTCCTAGCATCACCAGTGTACGTTCATCTACACCACCTAATCTCCGTTATATTCCTAAGAACGTCCAAGCGCTTAGCTATAAATATATCCGGAATCTGAAGTATAAACTCGATATTTTACTTATACCCATGAGGTCAGGCATATTTGGCTAACTTTACTATTGTAGGGGGATACCAAGGATCAGGGAGCGTATGATGTATCTAGCATAGAACGTCTCTACCGGCAACTAACATGCCATGCTTATATTTGTCTATATAACCTTGAGGGTTACAATCACGACATATTTTAGTAACTTAACACTCTTTAGTCAAGGCTATGCCTAGAGGCAGTGGCGAGTCAGGCACTTCTGCATTCCTTGGCGAAATACTAGCGGCGCCCGCTACTACCGTGTGTTCTCGGTATTGGTCATGTAGGGCTGACGGGGGAAAGAGGATGGTATAAGTTTATAGCAAAGGATTCTTCGGCCTATGCAGTTGATTATCTCCGTACCGTTAGTCTTGCCTCGGCGGGTCGTGAGTAATATCTAGATGCTTAGATATTTGAACCTATAATATAGATGAGGGATCTAGTTCTGACTCTTATTAACTAACACATTTAGTATACTGTTGGTTGCTCGTCTTAAAAGTGTACACCTGATTATTTAGTCGAAATTTAGGAGTATCGTTTCTTACGTCGGATAGCCATCTATTTTCGACTAAAACCCCTAGCCTAGGTGTCTTTTAGTATTGTTACTTAGAAAATTACTGGTCCATTATAAAAGAAAATGGAGCGTAGAGCTCTTATAACTTGGTTGAACCCTACGTACTTATAGAGAGCATTGTACTTACACATTAAGGAATTAAATATGCCCTAATAATATTTGATTTTAATAAATTAGGGACCTCCTACCACATCCAGAAAGATATGTATTATCCAGCGTATTCATCTACGAACCTGAGTTGTGATCGCGACCCTGTGCGAAGACCGCTCAGCATCAACCCCCGCTCCGATATCATTGACCGGTGAGGCAAGCCGGCGAATGACGATAAAATGGGAAGAGGATGTACGGCCCGAGGAGCAGATGCGGCAGTAGCCGATGCCGCTCTCGTCTACGTAGATGTCGGAGTTGAGCTGCGGGCGGAGATTCCGTTTTCAGGACCTATCCACCCCCACGACGGAACCTCGTAATCACCAACTCCTCCAATGCGAGATGTGGAGAATCCGACATTCTACCGACGCGATTCTGGGGTCCCCGACCTAGTTTCTGCTCCATGGCTAAGAAAGAAAGTGGCGAACCTACCGTGCGCCGTCTGTTTGCTTACGGGTTCTAGTCCGCTGGAGACCGGGTCGTTGACCGAAGCTTCTCCGTTGGCACGTACATAAGAGACGAGGACGACGTGGTCTTATTCACTTTCTGATCGCGGTACCTCTACTTAACTAGCATTTAAAGACAAAGGAAACGAGCAAGCCATCTTGCCGTCATGGCGACGCGTGTGCAAAATGGAAGCTCTTCGACCTCAGTTCTGGAGGTAGAGCTAGAACCAGTCTATTTATCAACTCCGTTGCCGAAGCAGGATGGTGTCGATGTCCAAGCCCGTGGGCCGAGCCGTCGGACAAGTAGCAACGACGGCGATACTACTCCAAGGCAGGATACGAGTTCGCTTCCACCTCCGAGCACGACTACAGACGTTGTGCAAAGATGGAATTACCCTCGGAAGAACATCCCACGGGTTGCTTCGTGCTTTTGGTCGTTCGTCGTCATGGGCGCTAATGACGCCGCTTACGGTGTAAGTTATCGTACTGGAATCCATACTAGATATAAACAGGGTTGCTGACAAGAACCGACTGGATAGCCTCTCATTCCATATGTAAGGCAGCTCTTTGGATTACACGGAGCCACGATCTAAATAAAATGCATGACTGACATGGGGTGTAGATTCAAGCACATTATGATCTTACGTATCTGATTGTATCGCTTATTTTTCTGTCACCTTTCGTGGGATATACAGCAGCAGCCTTCTTGAACAATATCATCCACCTTAAGGCAGGCCAAAGGGGCGTTGCCTTCATCTCCTCGGGGTGCCATCTGCTGGCCTACATAATCATTGCTGTCCATCCACCTTACCCAGTCTTGGTGATTACGTTTATTATTGCGGGCTTCGGAAACGGCATTGCGGACGCTGCTTGGAACGCGTGGATCGGTAACATGGCTCACGCGAATGAGATGCTCGGCTTCCTGCACGGCCTCTACGGAGTCGGTGCAGTTCTTAGCCCGCTAATTGCCACGACTATGATTACCAAGGGTAACTTGCCCTGGTACGCTTTCTACTACCTTATGGTGAGTTAGTCGATGCCAAAGGGAAAGACATAGAGCTGACTAGATTAGATCGGAATAGCTGGGCTTGAGGTAGTTGCTTCAGCCAGCTGCTTCTGGAAGGCAACAGGAAGCGAGTACAGGGAATCTCTAACGAAGCATTCCGAATCGTCCCAGGGTAGTCTTAAGGAAGCCCTGTTCAAGCAGCCTGCAGCTCGTGTCACATGGCTTTGCTCCCTGTTCCTACTTGGTTACGTCGGTCTTGAGGTTTCTCTGGGAGGCTGGATCGTCGAGTTCATGATTCAAGTCAGAAACGGCGAGCCCTTCGCTAGCGGTATGACGGCCACCGGGTTCTGGCTCGGCTTGACGATCGGGCGTGTGATTTTAGGGTTCGTAACACCGAGAGTAGGAGAGAAGCGCGCGATCATGATATACCTTCCTATAACGATGGGTCTCGAACTCCTTTTTTGGCTTGTGCCCCAGTTCTACGTTTCCGCCGTCGCTGTAGGACTTCAGGGCTTTTTTATCGGGCCTCTGTTCCCTGCTGCCATCGTCGCCGTGTCTAAGCTGCTTCCTCGACATCTACACGTCGGTGCTATCGGATTCGCCGCGGCGTTCGGTGGCAGTGGCGCGGCTATCCTACCGTTTGCAGTTGGAGCGATTGCACAGGCAAAGGGCGTAGAAGTGCTGCAGCCTATTATCCTCGCCTTTCTCGGTGCCATCTTCCTTCTATGGCTCGGGCTGCCGGCGATGGATAAGAAGAAAGAGTGAATATCTAATAGTTAAGTACTTTAGTACCTAGGTAGGACGCTATGTAGTCAAGAATGAACATATACCATAGGCTCGAATAGGCTACCAATATGAGTATGTCTAGTTCCTGAAGTAGTTGAAATCTGTTTAGACATGTCTCTTTCTCCAATCCGGAACTCTTTCAATAGGAACTGTGTACATACATATGAGGCAGGTAAGATATTATGACGTTTCTATCAGCTCTAGGTAACTTGAATATTCAGTTGCATCACATGAATTCTAGTCTCTTCTCTTCTTTTTTTTCTTCCTATAGGCAATTATATATATACGTATGCCGCCACGCCGACGCACCCCCGAACCAACATCTTCTGAGATCCGCTAGTATCACGTCATGGCCATGCGTCGGGCCATTTGCTTGCTTCTGACCTGGGACAACTTACCTTGTGTAAGCCGATATTAGGCTGCAGAGCTACAATATCGTGGCTGTGAAACAGAAGCTAGAAGCATCGGCAAGGGGGATACGATTAGTGATAGGACCCCTACGAATATCAACCTATAAGCTAGGAGAAAGGAGATATCATGTGACTGTGTCGACCTGCTGTAAGCAAGAGCTTATACGAAAAAGCAATGTAAAGCAATGTACTTATCCTCTGTGCCGCAGGTCGTGTAAATCGGATAAGTCAGGAGGATGTATGTAACCGGACGGAAGGGACATAATGTTTTTCTCTTCTTATTAGTTCGAAGAGATAGAAAAGCAAGAGAAATATGCGGCTATTTAATTTTGTTTAATTGAAGAAGCTGCTCCCAAGCAATGTGGCGAGTTGTGATGGTTAGGTGGTTAGGTAGGCAATTCGACCCGACCGATTCACGGAATTCAGTCCACCAAATCGGGTGCGATCCAAAGACTTGACCGGATTATCCGCTGTGATTAGGTGCATGACGTCGTACAGAAGCCTACGATACATGCTAACATACCCACATGCTAACATGCCTACTGGCTGACGAGCTAGCTGAGCCTATGAAAGTGACTCCTTTGTAAGCCAACAGCAGCTTGTTAATACTCATGAAATGAAGCTGTTAAATGATATGTGATAGGTAGTATAAATGTATTCGTACGATTGCATTGCTGTAAGTTTCCACACGGGGATGTATGTGCTATGTGCTATGTGCTGCGATTGTTCTTTTTCTTCTTCTTCGTTTAATTATACATTCGTGTTGTGTTATACTTGTGGCGAGTAGTAGTTGAGCTGTTGCAAGTTGGAAGTTGGTGTTACTGAGCGTTATTCTGTTGTTGATAAGGCTTACGTTCTGGTATTTGCACTAGATTGGGCTTAAGAATGAGATTGTACTGAACAATAAAAGGAGGGGAAAAAAGGAAGAAGGGAA